ATTGTGCAGCGTAAGGAGAAATATGAATGAACTACATGGGTTCAGAGTACTTATAGGCAGCACCGCGGGAACACACCAACCGAAGTGGGACACGTGGCGCCTGGGTACCGGTACCTACCACGACATTTAAGGTGCCTCGATTCCGTCGCCGCATAATCTTGGCAAAGGTGGCTGGATCGAAGCCACGAACGTCCAGCGAGGAACTCGGGATGCCCGGAGATCACGACCATCGGCTGTCCCTAATATAGGCGGCTAGTGGGGGACATATGCATCAACGGGCTACGTGCGTCCCTCCATACTTCATGCCATTTGGACATGTAGAACAGACGAACGTCCCCGTACGTAGCTAGAGTATTCATGCCACGCAGCGACAGACGAGCGTCGTCACCGAGCGCTAATTCTGGGAAGTACGTTCATACGTCCACACCTTGAGTATGCATCATAAGCCACCAACGGACGTCGTTTCATGGATTAGAGTACCTTGAGGACGGTAAGCCGGCGTCAGAGCCCAGCATCGACGCCCGAAGACCGGCTTGGGCGGTACTTCCGCACACTTGAGCACGAACGGAGGTTTGGCAAGGAAACGCCCTTGCCTTAAGCAAGGTACGGATACGAACGTCCTCGCGGACTTTAGCCGTTGTGGCAAAATGTATCGAGGCTCCGAAGGGGTTCTCATACAACAGACGATGGAGGAAGCGAAAGTAAAAATAAAGAAGTAAAGATCATGAACGTAGAGACAATTTGGGCAAAAGTTGTATATATTCTTCGGCTCTAACGGCCGGGCATTACAAACGCAAAATGAGAAGGTTACAATTTACATTTACACCATGAAAGGGGACTCCGGCCGGCTGCCTCCCGGGATCTGCTCCTCCTCCTCGGCTTCGGGCTCGGGGGTCGGGGGTTCCGGAATTTCCCCTCTAGCCTTGGCCTCCTCCCGCCGTTGGTCCCTCCTCAGCTTCCCCAAAGCTTGGATTAGCAGATCATCATCGGTGTTGGCGGCCAAATCAAAGTCAGCACCCTGCAGCTTGGCAAATATCGGGAGAGTGGCCTTAATCCCCTCGTTATAGCCGGCGGCGAAGGTGCTGTCGCCGACCTCATAGAGGAACTTGTGGGACAGAGGAGAGCTCTCGAGGATCCGGACGCCGCAGGCCAGACGCTGGCGAGGCGGTATCTTTTCCAAGGCCGCAGAAAACACGTCACCGAAGGCCCCGGCGCAGTAATCTCTGGCAGAGTCCATGAACTCCCCGGTGTTCTTGAAGCCGGAGGTGTCAACCAGCCACTCTGGGTCGGCGCCCTTCTCAACGGGGAGCACCGGAACAAGCTTGAAGCCGGCTCTCTCAAGACCGGCTAATTGACTGCGAGATTCAGCCTGCAAGGCTGCAATCTCCCTTCCCTTGGCTGCTGCCTCTGCCTCAGCTCGACGAGCGGCCTCCCGGGCCGTAGCAGCGACCTCCCGGGCCGTAGCGACGGCCGCGTCGGCCTTAGACTTGACCTCCCTCAGGTCAGCCTCCCTGGCGGCCTCAGCTTGAAGGACTAGAAGCCCAGACTGGATAACAGACAGAAAAATAAAGGCGATGGTCAGAAGATGAACATCAAGGGAAAGAGGTACTCGGATCTGGTAAAGAAGGGGTACCTGAAGAGCGGTGGCCAGGGCAGCGCTGGTCGCCTCGGACGACGAACGGCGGGGCAGCTCGAGACCGGCCTTGAGGGCCATCTCCCTCCAAAGCTCCTCCGCCGGGCAGCTCAAAGGCAGGGAGCTGGCGTCTTCAAGCGGGGGGGGGGGGGGGGCAGTAGAGCCTGCCTCACGGCCCCTTTTCTGCTTCTTCTCGGGGACCTTCTCTGTCCCCTTCTGTGGAGCCGCCTTCGTGGGGACGACCGGCGGTGGAAGGGCAGCTTCAAGGGCAGGGGCCCCGGAACCCTGAGCCAGCACGGTGGCGATCAAGTGCTGCTCACCCTCAGCCGTTCGTCGGGCAGCATCAGAGGCCGAAGAGTTGGAATCCGATGCGGGGGCGTTCTTGGCCTTCATCAGTGCGGCTTTAGCAGCGGCCGCCTTGGCCTTCCTCGTTTTCAGACACTCAGCGTGATTCATCTGAGCTCTGTCTGGCGGAGAACCTGCAGGAGAACGATAAAGGGTTAGAAGACGAACAGAGAATGCCAAAGGACACTCACCTCGAAGGACAGGACCGCCCGGTGCCCCGAGACGAGCGTCGAAGGGTGGAAGGAGTCCAAGGACACGGGCGGTACCTATGCCTGCCCCCGAGAGTGCCTCGAAGGTCAGATAGCCAGCTATGGGGCGAATGCCGCCCTGCAGGATGCCTTCCACGGCCTCACTCAGATCGTCGGTCAACTCCGGCGACTCTATCTTCGGGGGATAGCCATTCCAACGAACTGGGAGGGGAGGACCATCATAGCGAAGGAAGTAGAACCGGTTTTTCCAGTCATGGATGGAGGAGGGGTAGCTCTTAAACAGCCTCCTCCCCGGACGAGCGGCCACGCTCAGATACCCGTCGGAGTTCTGGGGAGTGATCCGGTAAAAGTAGTGGAACAGATCCAGGCTGGCTTCGACCCCCGCAAGTTTGCAGCGCACCAAGAAGGCTGATATGAACCTATAGGAGTTTGGCATGAATTGCGCCGGGGCCACTTGGAAGCAGTGGAAGAACTCCACATAAAATGCGTGAAGGGGAAACCGCAGCCCAGCTTCGACGGAGTCCAAGTGAAGCATGATCATCCCTGGACGTCTCCTCATCACGTGCTCAGCGCCCCTCACGCTCCAGACGAACGGCGGGGGGAAGAAGGTGCAGATTTTGTTGAGGGCCACACGGGAGAGGACCTGGTCATGGTCAAGGGCGCTCCTGATCGGGCAGATGTGGCGCTCCATATCCGTAGGGATGCCCAGGTCATACACCTCCATATCGGAACCGGATTCGGCCTCCTCTCCAGAATCATAATCAGCAGGACGCTCATTCAGGGGGACTGCGTCAATAACATCTACTGCCCCGTCAGCGCCCCCGTCCCCGGCGTCGCTCCCACTACTTTGAGACACATCATCCGGCTCGCCATCAGCCCGGATGGTCCCCACCGTCGTGGCCGAACCAGAGGTCCCGGAAATGCTGGCCTTCCCGGGGGAGCGAGCACTCACATCGACCGAAGAGGAGCCCGAGGAGGAACCCGACGAACCGGAATCAGAGCTTGACGAAATCTCCATCGAGGTCATTTCGGCTGAGAATCAGAACAAGAAAAGGAGCAGAGGGGGGAAATTACCTTACAAAGGGGTTAGCCGGATTCAGAAGAAGACTTGAAGAGCTGCGGAAAATCGAGAGCAAGAGAGCAGAAATTGGGAACCCTAATTCAGAGGGAAAACCCGGCATTTAAAGGAGAAAACACCGATGGGGAAGCCAACGAGGGGCTGACACGTGACAAGGAGCGTATTCCGGCCACGCGCTGTGCGTGGGGCAAAAACGTAATGATGACATTTCCTCGGGAAATGCTCCGCCGCAACATCAGCCGTCACCTCGTTTCCTGAACCGTCGACAGCTGTCAAGCACCATGACCACGAGCGTACGCTTCCCACGGGTGCAGAAAACACAAAGTATCAAGACACGAACGTCTACCTTGAGGGGATTCCTACTTCCTTATGTCCTGCGCGAGCCCAGAACATCAGAAGTGGGGGACTTGTGTTGGGTTAAGGGCCCAAGCCGAGGTCCGGCCCACTAACCCATATTGCCAGACGCACGTCCAGTTAGAACACCAGGCCAGCCCACAGGCCCATGTCCCTTGAGGATGGACGAACGTCTGATGTTGGGGGCTCAGGCCCAGCAGACTCATCCCGACGAACGGCTGTGCGGGGACAAGGAGCAGGACCACGGGCCACCAGGGATGGCGACGAACGTCCCCGGGGCAAGCCTGTAGTCATCGGAGGGGACCCAGTTCACATGGTGAATATCTACAAGGCCAGGAGACGAACAGCCGATATCTTTCGAGGGTCACTTGGAGCAATCCAACTCACTTCCCGGGAGGACGAACGTCCCCACTAATCAGGCGGGAAACCTAGATTCTGGCGGGAAGTGCATTTAATGCTGAAGATTTGGTAGTTGGGACACCAGCGGTCCACAGGCTGCCACGTCAGTCCAGCCACCTGCCCATTGGTGGGTATAAATAGAAGCATTTATTTCATTGTAAAGGGTTGGCAACTTTCTATTCTTAGCATTCTGGCTATTGTATTCTTACTCGCAGCATCTCTACTGCCTTGTAAGACGAACGGCCGACGTGCCCTTTTTAGCAAGTAGATTGTACTTAGGGGAGTTGTTACGGAGTTAATAATACCTATTTACATTGCCTGCTATTACTTTTGTTTCCTGATCCATCTCATAGTTGTTGGGCTAGATATCCTTACACTTACTCCACTCGAAATCTTTGGGCTTACGTGTTGGGTCCAAGGGTTGAAGGAATAAACCTCAACAATAGACATTTTTAGAATTTCAAATGTCTTTTTTGTTTTTTTATCGTGTTTCAAATGTCTTTATTAAATACCCAAAAACTTGAAGGGGTTTAAAATATTTTACTTAAATATGGTAGTAGCGGGACAAAAAAATCATTATGTACTTTTCCATAGATCAAAGATACACAATTAAAGTTGGATAGAACTTGGGTTTGTTTAAGTAATTGTGATTTGAATTCATAAGAACTACAAACTCTACAATCATCAGGCATTGACAAAACGTTTTAGACAGAGTCCGAAAAATCATCTATTAAAGCAGCATGCAATTTTTTTTATGTCGAACATTTGTTGATTGTAAAATCGTGCCGGACATGCTTTTTGGATTTCAATGTCCTACGTAACTCCAATAAGAGGTATCAATAACTATCATGTGTAAAAATTTATTCAATGTTAAAGAATCTCGTCTCTTGGAACAATGCAATTGACTCGTGTTTATTCGTTTAACAAAAAATCCACATACTTTAATACAAGAATGCTAGAAAGAATGCACATGAGAATCTTTAGCATTAAAATTTTAAAACTAAAATAGATGAATATAGATACAACTCATACAAGATTAACGTGATCTGGATGTACATTCATAGAATGTTGATGTCTATTAGCATAAGGATACATATGTTTTTTTTCATATGCACCACAATTTCAAATCTCCATTGGCCTATGACCTGAAATGCTCTATAAAGAATTAGGGACAACAATAGCTACAATAACATTGTATCATCGGTGAGTTAAAGTTAGAAGATCAAAGTCATGTGCTGGTGGGTTTGATGTACAAAACTCTGTTATAATATATAAATTCACCACATTAATCCCTATGATCTAAAAATTGTGTCAAACCCCCATATGTTGTAATTATTCATGCGCAAAATCTCTTCCCAGAATAAATTTAACAATTTGGAAATCATTTATCTTAATATTATGATTGAATATGCAAGTAAATTTGTCGAGATCTCTAAATTATGCAAAAGATAATAATCATTTTCCATTTATTTGACAATTAAATTTGTACATAGGGGGTTTTGTGCATGAATAATTATAATACCGGGGTTTGACGCATTTTTAAATCACAAGGGTTAATGCGCCAAATTTATATATCACGAGAATGTTTGGTCCATTAAACCCATGTTTTGGTAGACTTTTCCGTCTAGCCTTTGTTAAGAGTTAGGAATTGAGGGCAGGAGCATGGAACATTGAACAATGTCAAAAGATATAGTAAACTTGATATGCCAAACATCAGCATATACTCAAGTAACAATTTGCCGCCCGCTTCAGTTATGATGCCAAAGTAATCTTCTGTTGGGAACAGGAGGAGCTAACCCCGGAATGTCTCTAATGTCTTTGTTATTGGGGTTAACCATCTAGAAAAATGAGAACCGATAAAAATTTCAAATCTCTCTTTGTTTAGTTGGAAACAAAAGACAACAGTAGAGACAACATCAAGTAGTTAATATTTTTTTCATTAAATGGTAGTCTAGATTACGTGGTGTTTGTATAGTGGCTATATACTTTGTGTACTGATTAAGCAGTCTCAATTGGGTTATATTAAGGTCATTTTGGGTTGTCTTGTCAGTAACTAATATCACATATTAACAAACATCTATACCATCACAGTTTCCTCAAGTAAAATAAATGGTTGGGTGTTTCCAATTAGATCGTATGTAAACACGACTTGTGCTGAGGCAGCAGAATGCTGAGGGGAGGGACAGTTAGATGTAGGCTTCTGCTGAGGAGAGGGAGATTTGGATTTCTGATGGTTGGGGCTCTGATGGGGTGAAGTCTGAGGGATAGGGGTTCTCTGATGATGTGATGGAGGAGGAGGTGAGGGTGATCGGCTTCTGATGGGGGTTATCTGATGGCAGGGTGAGGGTTGTTTTGGTGTGGAGGATTTCTTGGGTGTTGGAGATGGGATTTGCTGAGGTTGAGGAGGAGAGGGGGGTGGAGTTGTGGTTGGTGTGACTGGTTTAGGTGAGGGGGATTTGGGAGGTGATGGGATTGGATCAGGAGAGTTAGGAATTACCTCAAGAACAGTTTCTTCAAACTGAGAGTCTCTCCATTCTCTGATAAGGTTCATCATTGCCAGAGATAGGTCATTGGCAGTTGATGGCTCTCCCTCTGTACCTGGAATCGGTTTCATCTTGATTAGAGACTCCCTCCTTTTCTTTTCCATCAGCCAGGCATCAAAGGCATCCCTCTCATGATCTTCTAGAGCCTTGACAGGTCTCTCTGGTGAGGTTGTAGGTACCTTCTCCTTTCCTTTGTAGATTGCCTTCTTCTTTTCAAGGATAGAGTGCAGATATTGGAGGTCAAAGCACAAGGAGATATCATCAGTGTCTGCCCATTTGAGGACTTCAGCTTCCTCAGATTCAAAGGTGGCAGCCTGAGCAAGAATCTGTTGCAGTGGTCCCATTCTCCACTTTCTCCATGTTAGCACCCTTTGAAATTGTCTCTCGAGAGCAGAGATGGGATCTACTTCAGGAATCCCAGTTGAGGAAGTTGGGTGCTCTTGTGGAGAGATGGTGACTTGCAGTGCTGATTCAGAGATGGGCTGGATCTCTGATTCAGGTTCCCCCTGAGCATCAGAGATCACCAGTGCAGTAGCCAGCTCTGGTGCTGGTTCCCCCTGAGGTTCTGATTCCTTGGGGGGAGAGTTGGTCTGCTTCTTCTTCTTCTTCTGGACTTTGATATGAGATTGGGAGCTATCAGAGTCACTCTGAATCACAGCTTTTCTTCTCCTCTTCTGTCTCAACACTTTGACAGGGGCCATAGCGGGTGCATCCTCCTCTGATGCTTCCACCTCTGATGCAACCTCCTCAGTGGTGGTTTCAAGCTTCTTCTGAGGTTTCTTCTTCTTGCCCTTGGGTTGTTCATCATCAACCTCAATTGCGGTAGCTGGTTTCTCCCTCAGTTGTTCTTGTTTCTTGGCTTTCTTTAATTCTGCAGCAATGGCTACATTGAATTTGGGAGAGGCTGTGAGGAAGATGGTCTTTGTGTGATTGACATCAGCAGCTTCTCGGAGCGATATGTTGATATTGGAAATCAGTCTTGAAATGAGAAGTCCATGACCCATCTTGGTTGAGAATTGGCCAGTCTTTTTGTCTTTCTTAGCCACAGACTCAGAGAGGGACTGGAATAGTACCCTTCCCCAGTTGATGTTCATGCCCCGATGAACAGCATAGATGGCCTTAGCATTTGTGTTGTTCATCTGATCAGTTGAGCCGGTTTTGCACCACAGGCACCGGTGCATTATGCTCATCAGACGTTCATAGTCCTTCTTCAGCTGGTTTTTCTTCATGTAGAGCTTATCTACTCCGGTTGCATCCTCCCGGCAGTAGGTTTCAGCAAAAGTTTGGACAGAGATATTCACATCGTCAAGCTCAATGAGGCTGGTAGTATCCTCTTCTTGAGGATCGAGTTTGATGTCGAAGAACTCATTGAGAGCATCAGCATCTATTTTCAGGTCCTTGCCCTGAACCTGCGAGTGGATGGCCTCAGTGGTAATGATGGCATTTAAGTAGAACTCAGCAACATCCTTCGTGCTGTATTGTTCATAAGGATGAGCAACAATCTTGCTCAGCTGGGAATCATGCATTCCTTGGATGATTTTCTTCATACGCTTCTGATTTTCTGCCAATAGAGGCAGTGAGGACATGTCAACGCGCATGCCAGTGACGATGTTGTTCACAAGAGTCTTGATTTCCTCCTTGGAGAGTTCGTTGATGTTGATGAACTTCATTTTTGTTTAGTGAAGAGTTTGAGAGGTCTGAGATTTGAGAGTTTTAGAGAGATAAAGCTTGAAGACGAGGAATACAAATGCAGTAGCGATTTAGGTTTTCAGACGGGGTAAATATGAATTTGGGTTAGTGGACGTTTGATATAATTTACGGTTTCGAGGTTGCATTTAATGGAATGCGGGCGGAAAGCCGTTTTCCAAAAGTGGTAATAACTACCGGGGGTAAAATAGTAACTTCCGGTTTATTGAATAGTCTCGTCTGAAATTTAGAAAATTTTTCTAAGTCCACAGCCACTCTGATAGGTATTAGCCCTTGTATCAGAGATAGAGATGTTCTGATATGAGGACCTCTGATGAATACCAAGTCTGATCCTTCCTGCAACTCTGACTTTTGCAAGTCTGAACCTTGCAATTCTGATTCAAGCTTCTGATGGATAAGGGCTTAGGTATCAGAAATGGGATGTTCTGATGAATCCACATCTGATACTTCTGCAACTCTGATTCATGTTTCTCTGGGAAGATCATCCATCATTCCCAATTCTTCTCTCAACTTGTTAAACCTTGCCTCAGAGAGAGGTTTGGTCAAGATATCTGCAAGCTGGTCTTCAGTTGGGACATGCTCAATTGAGATGTGCTTCTTCTCCACATGATCTCTGATGAAGTGATGTCTGATCTCAATATGCTTGGTTCTTGAATGCAGCACAGGATTCTGAGTGATGGCAATGGCACTTGTGTTATCACATAACAGCTTGATCTCCTTTGCTTGCACTCCATAATCCTTGAGTTGTTGCTTCATCCAGAGCAATTGAGCACAGCAGCTTCCAGCAGCAATGTATTCAGCTTCAGCAGTGCTAGTTGAGATTGAATTCTGCTTCTTGCTAAACCAGGAGACAAGTCTCCCACCTAACAATTGACAGTGACCAGAAGTACTCTTCCTGTCCAATCTACAACCTGCAAAATCTGAATCAGAATAACCAATTAGTTCAAAATTACCTCCCTTGGGATACCATAGTCCTGCATTTGGATTTCCTTTGATATATCTGATAATTTTCTTAGCAGCAACTAGATGGCTCTCCTTGGGCTTTGATTGGTATCTGGCACAGATTCCTACTGCAAAAGCTATGTCTGGTCTGCTTGCAGTCAGATAGAGGAGAGATCCAATGATTCCTCTATAAGTTGTTGCATCAACATCTTTGCCTTCATCATCTGGTCCAATGCCTTGAGATGCATTCATAGGAATTTTGACTGAAGTTTTTCCATCAATTCCAAACTTCTTGATGAGATCTCTGGTGTACTTCCCTTGGTTGATAAAGATGCCTTCAGGAACTTGTTTGACTTGCAATCCAAGGAAATAACTGAGTTCTCCCATCATGCTCATTTCAAACTTCTTCTGCATAACTTGAGAGAATTTCTTGCATAATTCTGGATTAGTGCTTCCAAATATAATGTCATCAACATAAATTTGCACTAACAGAATATGATTAGCAACAGAAATTTTAAACAGGGTCTTGTCAACCTTTCCTTTAGTGAACCCATGGTTTACTAGGAATAGGGACAATGTGTCATACCAGGCTCTGGGAGCTTGCTTAAGACCATAGAGGGCCTTTCTGAGCTTGTAGACACAAGAGGATTGAGTAGGAATGACAAAACCTGGAGGTTGTTCAACATAAACTTCCTCTTCAAGTTCTCCATTCAGAAATGCACTCTTGACATCCATTTGGTATACTTTGATGTCGTTGTAAGCAGCATAGGCTAGGAATATCCTGATTGCTTCCAGTCTTGCAACAGGTGCAAAGGTTTCATCAAAATCTATGCCTTCTTCTTGACAGTATCCCTTTGCTACAAGCCTTGCTTTATTCCTTACAATGTTGCCTTCTTCATCTGCTTTGTTTTTGAATACCCACTTGGTTCCAATGACATTCTGATGCTTTGGTCTGGGAACAAGTTTCCATACTTCATTCCTTTCAAACTGTGTCAGCTCTTCTTGCATTGCATTGATCCAATCTGAATCTTCTAGAGCTTCTTCTACACACATTGGTTCCATCTGGGATATACAGCAGGTGAACATGGCTTCTCTTCTTGATGCAGATCTGGTTCTAACACCACTGGTGACTTGACCTATCACTTGATTAGGAGGATGATCTCTCAACCAAGTTAGATCAGGTTCTGACAGTTGCTGTCTAGGCAACTCTGATGGTTCATCTTCTGATACATCATCTTCATCTTCATCTTTGTCTATCAGAATTGGATTGGCAGGAGGAGTTGAGAATACAGGATTGTTGATGGCCTCTTCTGATAGTTCTGAACCCTTATCTTCAAGATTGATTTTCTGCAAGGTCTCTGATAGTTCTTCTGCAGAGGTGCTGTCATCAAACTTGACATGAATGGATTCTTCAACTTGTAGAGATCTTCTGTTGAGTATTCTATAGGCTTTGCTTGAACTTGAGTAGCCTAGGAACACACCTTCATCAGCCTTTTCTTGAAATACCTTCAGATTATCCTTTCCATTGTTTAGAATGTAGCACTTGCATCCAAACACATGGAAGTAGCTGATGTTTGGTTTTCTTCCTTTCCACAGCTCGTAGGGGGTCTTCTGATGATTCTTGTGGATCATGCTTCTATTCTGAG